TCTTTGGATAATTATAGGATATCAGAAACGGAGTTAGAATGAAATTAGCATGATATGATATCGAAAATAGTTTAATTTTGATAAGTGGTAGAATTATGGAGGAATTGAAAACTATATTCAAATTGATTGAAGTTCAAATTTTATATTTTATGAGTAATAGTGATATACAATTAAGAATTACCAGGATAGGAGGCAGAAAATGAAGGAAATAATTTAACCTAAATTTAAATAGTTCGTTAAGGTAAAACTTTTTAGGACTGTTACCTTTTCTTTTTGCAAGGGAATAAATTTCAATTAAACATTTCTTTGTTTCATTTCGTTTATCTTCCTTCTTCTGTTTATTATTGCCACATTAACTATAACGAAATTTTGTGTTTTAAAAATTACGAAAATCAAGTAGATTGGATCAATTTAATTATTTGTTATTTTTTTCCATTTATAAAAACAAAAGACAGAGAGAGAGAGAGAGAGAAAGCAAAAAAGAGAGATATAGGTGGCACTTCACGAGGAATTTATTTCTCTTAATCGGAAATTATTATACAAATAAGAAATATTCTTAATTATTCGTTAATGTTAACTTTTAGGAATTTGAAATTTTATTAAATTCCTCATGCAAATGAACGATAAAGAATATCATTTAAAAAATAACAATAAAACGCATTAGCTTTGTCGGATATTTCTCCTTCTAATATTAAGCTAACATTTTTAAATTTAAATTTTCTATTTTATATTTTAAAAGATTTTATCGCTCGTGTAAACAAATACTGAAAATTTTTCTCCTTCCTATGTATTTTTAAATTGTAATCGTTGTTATTTTTTACAGCAATTCTTTTATTTCTATTCCATAATTTTATCAACCATTCAAATGATAATTTTTATTTTAACCATTCGAATGATAATTTTTATTTTTATCATTTGAATGATAATTTTTACTTTAATCATTCGAATGATAATTTTTATTTCATTCATTTCTATTCGATTTTCTTTTCCGATAAACATTTTTAAATATACAATTATATATTTTGTTTTTATAATTTTTCTTTTGAAAGATTTTAAGCTTAAAGGAGTATGTATATGTGAAGAATGAAATGAAAAGGAAAGAAATAATGTAAAAATTTAATCATTTCTTTTTCTTAATTTAATGAATTAAATTTATCACTTACTGATAAACGTTTATCATTCATTGAATTGTTTTTAATTGCAGCAAAATTGTCTGTAAGAAAGAATATCTTTAAAATTTCGAATAATTTTTATTTCATTAATTTCTATTTTTCTTTTCTTTTCTTATAAACATATCTGTTTTAATTGAATTTTAAATTTTAAATTGAATTCTAAATTTTTAATTGAATTTTAAATTTGTCGAATATAATAATTTGATATTTCTATTCAAAGAAATATACACTTTTCATAGATTTAATTTAAAGATTTGTCGATATTAATCGTAACCTTTTCAGTATATAATTTAAAATTCTAATTACGGACGTATTCATTTATCATACCTATTATTAGTCACAAATGCATGCTACGGATATTAATTATATTTTAAATATTATGATTGTTATTGGCTTTTTTAAAAAAACATGAATATCGTCGGTGAAGTAAAATGTTGATAAGAGGGGAAAAATATTTCTTGGATGATAAAAATTACTATTTTTTGATAATGGTAAATAAATAAAATGTACGTATATTTTAGGGTAGATGTATCGGAAGGGATAGTGTGATAGTGACATTCGTTCGAGATGACCTTTAGAAGTGATGATTATTGAAAGTGATGAACGATTGAATCTAATCGAATTGACTAAATTGAAGGATAAGTAGAATGGACAAAGATGGAAAAATAACGGAATGTAGGAAAATGTTGACAGGAATGGAATGAAATGGACTGATAGATTTGAGAATTAAGAATGGATCGATTCAATTCTATATTTGGGATAGATTTAAGAGAGAAAAAAAAGGAATGAATGAATAAAATAATTAAATGTGATAGTGTGCTTATGTGTAAGTATTCACTGTTTGCTTTTAGAAGAGTTATTTAATTCAGTTTTCAAGTATTTCATTATTTTGTATGAGAGGAAATATTTTAACACAATTCCAAATGAGTGTGTAAATAAGGGAGAAAGAGGAAAATAATTTTAATGGATAGTAGGGATATTCTTTTTTAATCTATCACTAGGATATCTATTAATTTATTGTAGATTAATTTCTTCTTTTGTTTTATGGTACTTTGTTTTATGGTACTTTAGGATTTTAAGTTAATATTTTCTTAATTTTCCCTAACTATAATTTGATGAATTTCCCTCTTCTTTGTAAGTAATCAATTTTCATTTGTGAATTTTATATCGATCGATTTATATTTTAGTATTTTATTTATATATTTCATTTCACTTATTTTAGGCTAATTAACTTTACACGAAATTAAATTCGATATAAAGTAAACGAAAATTTCTGTATCTCTTCATTGCTTTTAAATTTATTGAAATTTTAGGAATAAATTGGAATAAATTTGATATTATTTAAACAGTATTCTATTCTGGAAGGTTTTTTTCTTCCATTTTTAAGCAAAAAATTGCCCTGTCCCTCCCTCTCTCTCTCTCTCTCTCTCTCTCTCTCTCTCTCTCTGTTAACAGACATCTTTTGGAAGGAAATAAATGAACGTGAAGGATTTTGTAATTTAATGAAATAATTTGGAATGGATATATAAATAATTGCTGATATTAGTAGTCATTTGATTTATGACTACCTATTAATTAAATATTTAATTGTGTTGTGGATAAAACATCTGCTATAGTATATCTTACTTTTTCCAGCTATTCCACTTTTTTTAAACAAATTTCTTACCAATAAATTTTGTCGATAATATTTTTAATTTAATTGCTGAAATTCCTTAATATTTCATATAATTATATTTAATTTAATTTCTGAAAAATTTCCTAATTATAATTAGAAGTAATTAATAAATGAATGCATTTATTTTAATCCATTTTTTATCCATTCTTTTTTATTCCAATGATTACATATATGTAATTATTGAAAATAATAATTTTTCCTATTTGTTCAATTTGTTTAAAAATTAAATCAGACATTTTTTTTAATAATAAAACTTTCTCTATCTTTGTTTGTCTGTTTGTTTGTTTGTTTATTTGTTTGTTTGTTTGTTTTATCGTTACTTCTAAATTATTAAAAGTTTTTGATATAATTTTGAAATAGGAATAATTTTTGTTTTACGCTCTAATAATTTTAATCTTTTTTTCTGTTCCTCTCTCCAACTAATTCCATAATTTTTGTTTGTTCCGGATTTCACTAACGATTTTATTAATTGATGAAAAAGTTTGACAATTTTACGACTTTATTTTCATTCATACATGAACGAACGTTTTGCAGCACTGAAACGGAAATATGAATTATTAATGAATGAATAAATTTAGGAATTAAAAAGAGGGAGAAAAAAGGCAAAGAGCAATGGTACGGTAACGATATTTAGCCGAAGTAATTAGCAGAAATTCCGGAATTGGAAAAAGTAATTAAGAGGAAAAAAAATAGAAATAAAAAAAAGGAAAAACAAAGAAAGAAAGAAATGTATTGATTGGATAATCTTTGTATAAATCAATTACGGTACTTATATGCATCATACGGTAACAGTAACTACAACAACAGTAATAATAATCCCAACTATTTATACTATCATTCATTATTGTTTCCTCCTTATTGTTATTTTTTTTGCTCAATTAATCGATGCTGGAAGTTCGAAGCAAAAAATTCAAAAAGGTAAAAATGAAAAACAAAAATGGAAGAAAATATTTGAAACTTTTTTTTCCTTTAATTTTACTATTAATTATTAAAAACAATTTAATTTATTAAATTGTTTTATCTTGAATTAAATTTATTTATATTTTATCATATATAATTATCGATTTTATTTTTCTTTAATTTTTGTTTACTATTTATTACTGAAATTGGTAAGTTCATTCTTTTATCATATAAATAATCATGAACTGATAAATGATTGGATTTAATTGTTGTTCTATTAATGGGAAATAAAATTTTAATTTAATTTAGTTATAATTATTTTATAATTATATGTGATAAAGGTAATCGTTTAAACTGATACATAAAAACATAAAAGCACCTTTAAATTATAATTAAGTATTTTCAAAATGTGTTAATTTTAATTTTTGGCCATTTTTATTTTATAAATTTTTTAAAGGTTTTAACTAAATATATGGTTTATACCTATGGATATAATATTGCTCAGATAATTTGTTATCATTTCTTCTATAAATTTCGATTAAATTTTTCAAAAATTCAGGGCAATTTAAAAAACCAAAATTTGATAAAACTCAGTCTCTTTAAATATTTCCCATTCTTTTTTATCATTATTATCTCATATCAATCGGTTATTTTGATAAGAATAATGTTAAAAATTTTTGTGAAATATTATATATTCAATCAATACTGTCACTTTTATTATAATATTTCAATTTTAATTCTAAATTCTTCATTTTAAATATTTGTTTAATCTTTAATGATTTATTCTGTCCTAATATTACTCTTTAAAAATTACGTACACATTTGAAATAAATTTAATTTAATTAAATAAGACAAAAGAAAAAATTGGAATCTTTTAAACGAAATGCTTCTTTCAGAGTATAATATTATCAATAAATCAGTGATAATTTTAATTCAAAAAAGAACTAAAAAAATCTTCTTGCAAAAAAGTGACAGAAGTTTTCTTTTCAAAATAATAAAATTTCATCAAAATTTGCAAGAATTTGATTAATTAGTATTTCAATTATTTGATCAATTAATTTTCAATTAATTATTGTTTTTTAATTATTTGACCAATTAGTTTTTCAATTATTTGATCAATTAATTTTCAATTAATTATTGTTTTTTAATTATTTGATCAATTAGTTTTTCAATTAATAATTGTTCAGCTTTTTTAAATTAAATATTTCGTGTTTACCTTTTTTTTTATTTTAGTACCATCAGCTCCAAGAGAGATGGAAGTTATATTGGTTAATGCATCGGCGGTAAAGGTAAGCTGGGAAAAGCCATTGTATGCAAATGGTGATATCATTGGATATTATGTTTATAAGGATCGATTATTAAATGGTGAACCGGTTAATGACAAATTACAACGAGCTATCATCTATGATCAACATGTCAGTTATATTTTATGATATTTAAAATTTTAATTTGAAAAGCAAAAAAAGATTATAAATTGAAAATGCAACCTTATACGTCATAAAATATTATAATTGATTCCGTTCCTAAATCAAATATCAGGATGGTTTTATATCAATAGCATATATATATATTAAAAATTTAAATTTGTCTAAATTTATAATATTTATTAAATAATCTTGAAGAAATACTTATATCACCATCCATCCATGAATACTAATTAACTAATTAACTCAAGTATATTAGTTATTTATTTGATTTTCTTTTTTTGTTACTCTTTTCAGCGTTTTTCTTTAATGTTTTTTTTATTACGTTGAAATAATGTAATTTCATTATCGTATCAAATTTCCGAATATTTTATTTCCAGAAAACATATACATTGATCACAGATCTTGAACCGAATACGGAGTATTCATTCCGGGTAAATGCTTTCAATAGACATGGTGATGGTGAATTTAGTGCAAGTAAAAAAATTCTTACAGGTGGATTACGTAAGTTTTTACTTTTAGGAGTTTATCTCATTCTCTTTTCATTTAAATATTTTTGATGAAAAATTTATTTCGAATGAATTTTTCCTAGAATTACATTTATAATATTAAATTATATTTAAATTAAAATTTCTCCTAAATTTTCTAATATTTTGGAAAAACTTTTTTCTTACCTTTTAAATTGCTTTCTATTTTTAGCTCCATCAGCACCACAAATTCATTCCGTTAATTTGCTCAATGATGAAACTCCGTTACGAGCACGTGTTGATTGGAAACCACCAAAGGTTTAAATTTAACAAATAATATATCTAATTACTGATGTAATTAATTATCAGATAAATCTAATTTTTGAATAAAAGTTTTTTCATGAATTTGTAAGCTTTCAATTTTTAAATTTTTAAGCTTTTCAAAAACTATACATCAAATAACTTTATATTTTTCATGTGAAATTTTACAGTAGCGAAAAGAAAAACTTATTAGAAATTAATTAATTAATTACCTTTGAATTATTAGTCCTTTTTTTCATTGTACAATAAGGTAAGGTGATATAATCGCAATTTTATTTTCAATTAATTCGTCGGAAATTGTCATTAATTTCAGTTCACATATAATTTACCAATCAATAAATATATGATTTGGTATAAACCATTCGAACACACCGATGCACGCAAACTTGAAGTATCTGGCACACAAAATTTTGCTATACTTGATGATTTATGTACGTGAAAACACTCTTGTTCTTTGTTTTTTCTTTTTCTCTTTCTTTTGTAGTATTTTTCATTTTTCAAATAAATCCAATTTTTTTGACTAAAAAAAATTTTCAAAATTCTATTAAATATAATTTATTTTTTCGAATATCTTTAAATTAATGTATTGTTTTGTTAATTACCGCTAATTACCGGTAATTTTGTTAATCTTACCTGTAAAAAAATGCTGTGAGTAAAAGATTATATTGAAATTTCAAAGAGAATAATTAAAAGATTAATTTAATATTTCTTCCCAATTTAACAATTTATTTATAAATTGCTTATAATTTATCAATAATGATATTTTAAAATTAATGCTAGCAATAAAGCTCCGTTCCTGTTTTTACCCTAAAATGTTAGTGATATAGAAAACAAAGTTAGATGAGAAATTGCGATGAATTATTAGTTAAAATTAAATTATTGGGAAAAAGAAATTGATCATACTGAAATTTAACTAAAATTAAATTATGTTTTGTTATCAATTTATCAATATTATATGAAATCAATTTCAATTTGTGAGTTCTTAATTTTTTAGTTTGTTATTCATAAATTGAATAAATTATCTGAAATGAATTCTATATTAGGATAGATAGATTAGATATCAATGAATAATTTTGAAAATAAATAAACTTTTGTTTTTTTCCTATTTCACGGTAATTATTTACAGTTCTGGGACGATTGTATGAAATTAATATAGCAGCGGAAAATGATGATGGCACAGGTGTGAATGCAACAGAATGGTTAACAACACCGATAGGAATACCTGAAGCTGAACCACTTAATGTACGCTACGAAATTAATGCGAATCAGGTAGAAGATATGTATTTTATTAAGTTAATATGTTTAGCTAGAACATAGGTAGATTGTAAATGTAATGTTAAAAAGCATAGTTGAAATATTCCACTCATTACAATAATTTTACTAATTATCCAAACTTAACGTATAGTTAACAATTTATCATAATTGATAAAAAGTGAGAAATATTATATGCATTATATATTTTTCAAGTACACCAAAATTTTTCAACTTATTCAACATTTGTTTAATTTCTAAGCTATTTTTTATCATCAATTTATCAGATTCATCTCATTTATTATCACTATTGTTTTTCTCTTACCATCCCAAAAATAGCATCTATTGTTTTTATTAACACAATTAAGTTGTATTTTAATAAAAGTATATGAGCTATCCAATTTTTTATAATTTGATAATTATCATTGAAATCTTTTACTACTTACATTTGTTGTGAGGAAAAGAATGGAATAAGAAGGAATTTGTTGTAATACGTTGAAAAAATTTTCTTTTCTTTTCAAATGACAATTTAATATGAAATTTCTAATAATTGTGATTTTATTTTATTTCACTTATTGTTTCAATAATTTAGTAAAATCATTTATTCTAGGTGACAGTATCATGGGATCCACCAGTAATCGATAAACGAAATGGCAATATTACATATTATCAAGCTATTTTAACTCCATTAGAAGTTGATGAAGAGAAAATTGTTCGAAATGTTAGCTTTTTTTATCTTCATAAGATGTTCATTTTTCGTAAAATATTTCGTTAGAATTCTTCCTTTTCAATGTTTTGTAAAAATATGCTAATTAACTAATTTGAATAATACTATGGATTACAATATAAATTGATTGTAAGAGAGAAAAAAAATAAATATTATACTTTTGTCGAAATTTAGATAAACAAGGATAATGAATATTTAGAGTATTTTAGAATTAGATAATCATTTTTAGAATTAGACAATCATTTTTAGAATTAGATGAACATTTTTAGAATTAGATAATCATTTTTTGAATTAGATAATATTTTAGAATTAGGCAGTCAATTTGAGTTGTCGCAAACGAATAATAATTTACAATTTTTCCTTTCATTTTTTTTACGAATTGACAAAATAAAAATATCTTGCGGAAACTCAAATTTCACTCGATAACTGAATTTTCCAAAATTTTCCGGAATAAATTTTTTCCATTCAACAATCTTTTGTATTTCAATTGTACGATAATTTTCATTCCTAAGCTAATTATCAGCAATATCTTTTTATACAGTAAAATAATTCTTATGGGTTTTTTGCTTATTATTATTACTATTAATTTCAGGTTACAAATGGTCTTTCTACAACCTACGACGCATCAATTCCAAAAATTTATACTTTCAAGGTTGCAGCAGCTACAATGAAGGGTATTGGTCCGTATTCGCCGGTTTTATCCATTGATCCTGATCCAGCAAGTATGCAATTTTCGATTTTTTTTTCGAAGTTTCTCTTTCAGGAAATACTATTATTATTCTATATTAATCAAATTCAATGATAATAACAGTTAGATTGCTATAAAATATTTGCTGTTGGATGGTATTTGCATCACTTTTCCGCATTTATGATTTCATTTGCATATTCATAGGATGAAATGAAGCATATCAGTAAAGCCGGAAAGGAAATGAAATGATTGTCATTAGCATTTATTAGCGCTTCATCGCATGCAATTAAAGCTTGCTTTTTTTGATTACAGCACATTATCCTTTATTTTTCAGAAAAGATTTAAGAAAACCGTACTTTTGCATTTCCTGTTAAGCACCGTTTTATCAAGATTTCCGGATAAATTTCATGAAAAATTTTCACATTACTTCCACGACCTTTTTACCTTTTTCTTGTTTGTATAATACTTTTCCAGCAAACAGAAAAAGTTCATCCAAACTATAATGTTTTTAGTGTTAGATTTTTTAATACCCTATGATATCCTTATCATAAGATATGATATCCTTATCATATCATAGGATCAACCATTACTATAAATAAATGGAGGAGAAATGGATCGATCTTAATTGTTGCCAAAAATTTTCCACTATTTATTCTTTCATTTTAAATTAATTTTTCTATTTGTGCTTCTCTCATACTACATTTTCCGAAAATTATTATGACTGGCTTGTATCAAATTTAATTTCACGATTACAGTAAAAAAAAGAATTCGAAGTTTCTTTTTTTAAAACGGAATTCATTGAAAATATTCAATCCGATCGCAATTTATACTTTGCATAACTGAAGCGAATTTATTCATTGTATTAGGCACAAAAATCCCAATGCACTCAATCTTTGCTAGTTTCTAAAATTTTCGTTACTTACAAATGAGAAAAATATGCTCGAAATTCATATTTGTATTCTAGAATACTTGGAATATGAAATTATCAAAATATAAGAAGTGATCAAAACCACTTCCGAACTATCGTCATATAGAATATTTGTTTATTTCTGGATAAATTTTGCCTGTGATAACGCAAGGTGCATATTTCGTCACAATATATATATATAAATAAACAAGCCCTTAAAATTCACAATTGCATTAATAACACTTTTTTAAAGATGGAATTCGAAGTGAAAGTAGAAAATGCCACCTGTCATTATTTTTATAAACGAATGAAAAGCCATCCACCATTATGATATTAAATGGTATCATAATAAAAGATGGAGGAGCTAATTTCTTACTACAGTAACGGTTTTAACATATCATATCAACATATCGTAATAAATATTAAAGTGATTATCATATAATATTTTGAAGAAGAAAGAGGCAAAAAACATAATGAAAAATATATATCTTTAGAAATGATTTTGTTGATAGAGAGAGAATATACCTTAGTTTTAAAATAAGCAAAATGCTTATGCTACAGTATGCACGCGACATTGATATGTACCACTGTGTTCTTACTACAGTATAAATGTGTGGTGTAGTATGTATATATTGTACCGACAAATACTGTTCTGTATATACATAGTTATTGTAATATAATTTAGTTGTATTTTAGTCATACTTTACGAATTTTAAATTGGAAAAGAGTTTAGTATTTCGTATATGAATCATAGATAACTTTATTATTGTTTTATATTCTTTTAACAAATTTAATTCTAAAATTAGAATTTGATTTGTTCGAAGAAATCACGTAATAGAGCCACTAATAATAATATTACAGCGCTTAATAAGTGGAATATTCAATTATTATTTGATAATTTATAAGTTCTCGATTTAAAAACTTTCTTTGTAATAATTTAAGAGTTATACTTTAAAAGTTAAGATACATGCGTATACATATATGTTGTATGTATAATTGAGTGCAAAAGTAATTGCAATTTCGAATTTTCTTTTTTCCAAATTATTATAATTAAACATTCTAATGCATTTACGGACAACACATATCACAGTAATCAGCCATTAAACGGAAACAGAAATATGAATTTGAAATAGGCAAGTATTTATTAATAAAAGTGTGTATATTTAATTACATTAAAGTGAAATAAGAAAGGCATAGTTCATATGAAATTTTATTTATACGAAGTATTTTAAATCAATATTTTAGCTTTTTTCTCTTTCTTGAAAGCTATAAACTTTTCTCTTTCATTGCAATAAAATTTTAAGAGGAATATATATTCGTTCATTTCTCTCAAATAATAATTTTACCTTTTTGCATAACAATCGGAATGAATTCATTTTTTATTCGTGAAATTTATTATGATTATTAGCTATGCTATTTCATAATCTGTACAAAATAATGATTTAACTTATCATATTATTATTATTGACAAAGTATTTAACTTCTATCTTTATTATTTTACTAACTATTTCATAACCTGTTCAAATTAATGATTTAACTTATTGTTATTGACAAAGTATTTAGCTTCTGTCTTTATTATTTTACTAACTATTTCATAACCTGATTAATGATTTAACTTATTATTATTGACAAAGTATTTAACTTCTATCTTTATTATTTTACATATTTGTTAAGTATATGATTGATGAAGGAATATGAAGAAAGTGATGAAATTCGATATAAAAATTTTAAAAAAGCCAAAGCGATATGCATTTGTTAAGAATTTTGTTAAATTTGCTTAAAAAAGAGAAAAGAAACAATAATTTATAAAAATGAAAAAAATTTTATTAAAAAATATAAATTTAATACTAAATATATATTTTACTCTCAAATTATTCCTTTTTATTTAAAGCCATTTCATTTCATATTTTATAATTTCATTTGTCAGCAACAATTCTTCTCTCTCCTACCATTATATAATATTTTAATTTTGTTTCCTAAATATATTCCGATTTATGATTCTTAACGAATATGTGATATTTGAGATTTATTTTTGATTTATGATAATTTTTTTTAGTTCTAATTTCATAATTTATTTTTCCAACTTACCTACCTTTTCTCCTACCTTTGTATATTTTAGTTTTGAAAAATTTTTAGAAGCATTAAAGTGTGCTAAATGTAAATAACTCAGTTACTAATTGGCGATAACGATGAGACGATAAGTATCTAAGCTAATAATATAGAGCAAGCTAACATTGATTATACAATTGAAAGTGATTATGCTATTTAAATGAATATCTATCTTTTCCATACTGTGTGCTACAGATTTCAATTACCAAAATGATAAGATATACGGTACTCTGACTATATCTAAATTAATCTTTTGTGTTGCAATTATTCAAACATATTGGCTTATACTTTTTTGCTTCATACTTTCACACTATAGATATCTGCAATTTTGAAATGTATTAAATCGAAATGCTACTGCTACTAATTAAATCATCCATGCATGATATTCAAATCATCTACTTCACAGTATTTCATATTTCACATTTTTCATTCCTTTCCTTTTTTTTTCTATCGAAAGTATTTTAGAGTTTATAAATCGTTACGTTATTAAGCGTAGTTTATTAATTTTCCTTTTGCCTTACTGAACATTTTCGATTAACATTTTCCTGTCCTTTTAGTTTGTTTTCTTTTCTTTCACCTTTTCCTAAATTTTCTTTTTAGAAAAAAAGTTACGAAAAAAGTTTTCTAAATTTCGAAATTTTCTTTTCAAAAGAAAAATTTGAAATTTGAAATTGAAAGAATTAAAAGGTAATTAATTAAATTATTTCGCCGCTTAATTATTTAGTAAAATAATTTTAGGCAATAAAAATTTCATAAAATAAGAAAAGATTTCATCTGTGCTTTTCTTTTTTTGTACTTATTAAATGAAAGCCTAAAATTAGTTGCAATCATTTTAGGATTTTCACTGTTTAATTTGAAATATCATCTGTGAAATGATAAAATTAAATAGAATATTGAATGCATTATAAAATTTGATTTACATCAATTTACTTTTTAAGTTTTAAATATTACAGTATGCTAAAAAAAAATGATTTTCCATAAGGCTTTTTACTTAAATATGAACAGATGGTTGTTAAAGTGCTTTTTCTTCATTCGCCTTTTTCAAGTCATTTCCTTGGTTAGGTTAGTGAAAAGTTTTTTCATTTCATCCTACTGCGATATTATAACTAAGCAAATGATTGAGATATAATTGAGTGCTCTTTAATATCACCTCAATTCTTTTTTTTCAATTCCAATTTTTATCTTAATATTATTTTTAGGATTTGCATGATTGTAATTTGAAATGTCTTTTGAGATATGATAAAAATTTTTCTTTATCATTCAAATTTATTTACACCATATTAGGATTTTCATTCATTTACTTCATTTATTTATTTACTCAAAAAATTATATCGATTAAAGGATAAATTATAAAGAATTATTTAATCATTCATCAATTATATCTGTCGTATAAAGGTGTCAAAGGTTAAATCTGACTTCTAAAATGAAAGTGAAAGACGAGAATTGTTTAATCATTTATCAATTATATCTGTCATATAATGGTGTCAAAGGCTAAATTTTATTTCTAAAATGAAACTGAAAGACAAGGATTATTTAATCATTTATCAATTATATCTGTGATATAAAGATGTCAAAGGTTAAATTTTGCTACTAAAATAAAAGGAATAAAAGTGAAAAGTAAAAAATACGAATATGTAATTTAGTAGGAACAAAATGAAAGATAAAAACAATGTTCCTATACTATTATTTCTTTCTTTAAAAAAAGGAATAAATTACTGTGACAAAAGGAAAAGAGGTGTCTTTTAAAAAGTTGAATAAATGAAGAAAGAATTGCAAAACAAAAAACTTTTTTGAAATGAAAGGAAAGGACGAAAAAGTTTGTTAGCTATTTGAAATGAAATGAAATGTAATTTTATACGACAAAATCTATGCAACGTATATTTTAATATTTCTAATTGATATTATAAAAAAAGGAGAAGAGATCCGCTTCTTTTCCATAATTATTTATGAAAGATTTCAGAAATGAAAATTATTGAAGCGAACTTATTTTCAGCTAAAATTATCGAACATTTTTTTGTTAACTCTTAAATTTTGATTTATTCCATTTAGCTCTTTTATACTTATATATATATAGATAGATAGCCATATATATACTTTATATACATGGATAGCCATACATATACATTATATTTATATATATATATATATATAGATAGCCATGCATATACATTATATTTATATGGTTATAGATATCCCATACATATATATTTATTATATATATATAATCATTTTTCCTACTTTTTATTTTTTTTATTTCATTTTTCTTCTTTTTTCGACAAAATGCTTTTCTTCAATTTTACAAATAAATTTAATGCATAGTTTTCTGATCGTATCGAATAATTTAATGCATTATTAAATAATGCATTTTAATAATTTCACTTTAAAGTTATAACAATTTCAATTGAACTTTTTTTCTTCGTCCATTAAAATTAATAATTCTTTTTTTATATCATATAATTTTCTCTTTTTCTTTTTTTTACTAAAAACCTTTTTATTTCGTTTTCTTTTCTTTCTTTTTGTTGTCGTTGTTGTTTTTTATTTTGATTTTGGTTTAAATATTTTGATTATGGTTTGCATATTTTGATTTTGGTTTAAATATTTTGATTTTGGTTTGAATATTTTGATTTTGGTTTAAATGTTTGCGTATAGTGATATATGCTGTTTATCGATTTAAATTCTACTTTTTTCTTAAACCGAATTTTTTTCATCAATTTATTAAATTTACACCATTGTCGAAATGGCAACAATAATTGTCCTTTTTGTGTTGCCTAATTTTCAGGTTATTTTATAATTGTTATATTATTTGCGATTTGTCTCTATATATACGATATATTTCATTTTTAAAATATTAAATAAAAAATTAATTTCTTTCTCTTCTATTTCTGTTTTTGATTATATCAGTATTGAATTTCTATTTCCAGTTTTAAATAATAAGTTTTTTTAAATAATAAGTTTCAATTTCTATATTTTTTCATTAATCGATTGGTTGATTAATTTGTGCTGTTCGCTTCTTTTTTGAGCTTCCATACTTCTTCATTAATTGATTGATTAATCTGATTGATTTAAATAATTTGATAAAATAAAAAGATCAATAAGACTAATTTTAAATATGGTTTTTAAATAATCCAAACTTATGAAAAAATTGATTTTGCTTTAGATAGGAAAATTAACTGATTTGATATATTCGAATAATAATTATTTGGCTCCCTAAAATTATTGATACGTATTGTTTACATTCATTCATTTTCATGCTTTTGTTTTACTGTTTTTTCAGGAATAATTTTAAAATAAATTTTTATTGAACTTTCATATACTAGTAGAATTTTTGTGAGTTACAATTGCAACCCAGAAATGATAAACATCAAATGATATAAAACGGTTAAAATAAAATATCATACAAGAAAAACTCTATAGTTATATCCGGAAAATGAAAATATCATAAACCAGCTAAACGATGCAATTTGGCTATTACTTTCAATTAGTTAGTAATTATTGCTATTATTAAGGGATGTTAGCTTAAATTTCTTCTGGTAGTTTTCCTTTTTTCGTGATAATAGTTCTCCTATTTTCCAATCCATTCATGACAGATGTAAATTTTGCATTCTTGATTTATAGGAAATTCAAATTATCGCGGAAGCTTAAATTGATCCGTTAGCTTCCTCTTTCCTTTCTCTTTCAAAAATAAAGGAAATGCTAGCAATTACGCATTTTCATTCCTAAAAGTTATAAGTTTTATCAAAATAGCAACCTTTTTGCCTTTTTTCAGTAATTTTTTCTTTTTTTAAATATTTTGTTTTAGTTCATTTTAAAATGTCTCGAAATATAACTTCGCAAAATTTTAATTGAACCAAAATTATATCGCAACGTTTAGAACAATTAAAAGATGCAAAAGTAAGATTGCTTTTTGGTTGGCTATTAATTTATAAATACGTGTGGAAGATGAAACAGTAATAATAATGATAATGATAATAATAATTATTATAACAACAATGACAAAAAATGGTGACAAGTTATGTTATTACTAACTAATAATAATAATTAGTGATAATGATAGTTAAAAAATAATAATAATATTGGTGATGATAATAATAGAGATAATAGGTAATAATAGTGTTGATGATTACTAATAATAATAATGATAATGATAATTGTCATTATTATAATAACAATAACGATGACAATAATAATTAATAATATAGCAATGATCGATTTTCTTTTTCGGGAATTTTTAGTTTATAAGAAAAAATTGGAAAAAAAATTTTTGAAGATAAAATCTGAAAAATTAGTGACAAATATATAAACATAGAAATGGATAAATATCGATGTAATTATTAAATTGCTGTTTTTGACGTTTAGCCTTTTTTTCCCAAAAGTTTAAATTAAAATTTAAATTTTTCGAAGAGAAAATTTTATGTTATTCAACGAATTTCCAACAGAGATTTATTTGATGAATATTATGAACTAATAATAATGATAATAATTCCTTTTATTTAGCAATTATTGCTATTATTATTCTCTATTAAACATTGTTATCATTATTATTATTATTATTATTGCTACTACTGATAATGATCATTATCGTTATTTTCATCCTTTCTGATTATTATTATTATTATTACTATTATATTACAAGTAGAAGTGAAGAAAAAGAGAAAAAAGAAACATAACCATTTCTATATTACATTTAATCTATGTAATGCTTCTTTTTCTTTTCATCATTTCCATTTAATAATATTCGTAATCAAAAAAGTAATAAATTGAAAAACTCATTACTTAATATCAATTCCTATTTCAATTCCATTATTTCTTCTATTTATATTCGTCATTACTGAATATCAATTCCTTTTTCAATTCCATAATTTCTTTTATTTATACTTATTAGTTAAATATCAATTCTTATTTCAATTATATTATTTCTTCCATTTATACTCATTAGTTAAATATCAATTCCTATTTCAATTACATTATTTCTCCTATTTACAATCTTTTCGGATCCATTACCTTTTTTCGTTATTATTATTATTACGTTGTTTTTCATCAACAAAAATTTTATGAATTTTTATAGTAAAATTCATAAAATTAACTAATGATATTATTATCATTGTTTTTTTGAATGAAACGAAAGGAACAAACGTCGTCGATATTATATTATTTACTATTTGTTATTATTTTTTACCAACAACAACAACAATGAATTCGGTGAAGGAAAATGGAAGAAAATCTAAAATATTCAAAATTGATTCTAATAGTAATAACATAATTAATAAATGGGGAAAATTTAATTCAAGTGAATTAAATTTTGAAAAATGTCGAAATAATTTATTGGATAAATTTGAAAATTTGGCAAACCAATTTGCTGCTGGTTGGAAATATCATATTTCAAATACGGATGGTATTAAAGAAGCATGGATTAATTTTGAAGATTTTTATTCTGAAATATGCTTATTAGCAATAGAAAGACAATTAGTACCACCTGTACATGGTGAAATTGAATCACATGATATTACCGGATTACTTCCATCCTATACAATTACGGATGAATATCGTACACCGGAACAATGTGATGAATTATTGATAAAGAATGTTAATGCATTAGCTAGCAAATTATCACCTAATTGGACAAGTGCTATCACAAATATTAGTAATACTTCAAAAGCATGGAATGAATTCAAGCATTATTTTCAACAAATATGTGCTCATGATCGTAGTAGTAAGTTTTTCATTTTTTCTTTCTTTTATCATTTTAATTAATTACAATATCATTAAATTGATAGCTTTTCCCTTCAGTGCTAATAAGCCGTGTTGTGTGTGTGTGTGTGTGTGTGTGTGGCATTATCATTGATAACTTATATTTGTTGATCAACAATTCGTATTCGTTATTTTAATAATTTTTATTTTCATCAATCAATAATTTTATTATTTTTATTCTTCTCATCAATCAATAATTTGACTAGTGCATGCAAATTATTAAGATTAATAAGGATTAATTACTGATAAATTATTGTTTATGCCATATTGTTGTTGATAAATAGTGAAATTATTGATTAATGAAATTAAATTATTGATTATTGAATGCAAATTATCGATTAGCACATACACATACTTGATTAACAGATGTAAATGAATTACAAATTATTGATTAACAAGTATGAATTTTCGGCAAATTATTGTTCATGCTGTATTGTTGTTGAGAAATAGTGAAATTACCACTGAAACAACTGTTTACATAATAATATTATTGACATATAATGCAATTATTCATTAACGAATATTAATTATCGATTAATGAGCTTAAACTATTAATGCAAGCTATTGATTGATTAGCTAGATTAGCTAGATCAATATTTGGCGAAACTTGATTGATATTGGCATTTTTTTTCAACCCTCTACTTCTAAAACTGAACTTGAAAAGCTGTGATCAACTTCAACTATTTAGTATTATCTTTTAAAGATAACAATAAAGAAATTATTTTACCTTATTAAAATTTTGTTTTTCTTTCCAACCATTCATTTTAGCTAATTCATTAATCATTTAATTTAATGGCATTCATCATCCCAAATATTTATATATATATATATATATATATTATTACTCATATTTTCTTTTTCTGTTTCATAAGTTAAATCTTATTTATGGAATATTGAAATTAAAATTGGATTTTTTTTATAATCAAAAGTGAAATCGATTATATCAGTTCATCATGAAGTCACTCAATAATTCTATACTAATAATTATAGTAAAAAATAACATTGACAGTGATTAAAATGATGATGACGATGATGATTTAAATGATGATGAAACTAGGATGACGATAATGATGATGATAATACAACTATCATTATTATTCTATTCTTCTTTCAAATACTAATGAAAATTTATTTTTTATTTTTTAATTTATCGGTCTTGATAAAAATCCTTTCACACTATTTTATTCGATTTTCTTAGACAATTTCTGCTAACCATTAAGTTAAGCAAAAAATGAGATAACGAAAGAAGCTATCTGGCTGTCATCAATTTCTTTCCTTTTCATTTCTCCCATTTTTTTATTTATTTATTTTTTTATCTCTTTCTTTTTCTCTCTCTCTCTTTTCTTTGTCTTTCTTTTTTGCTTTTAATTTTAATTAATTTTCCTTAAATGCTAAACTTTTTAATAGAACTCAAAAATAGTAAAATGCCTATTTATGTACTATCAATTACAGTCTCTTCTTAACTTATTTCAATCCTCTATCATTTATCTTTATTTTACCATTCTTTCAATTCCACTTTTTGCTTTCCTGAAATTTGTCAGAGAAGTGCTTTTGATATTCCCGTGAGGATAGAAGTTCTAACTACGGGGAGATACTTTTCATGAATTTATACCGATGAAATATATATCATCATCGCCTCTTCTTTTCTCATTCAACATTTTCAATCATCATTTCTAGTGTTCCACTTTTTTTCCCGTTGCTATTTAATCTTACTAACGAATTTCATTTCCTATCTTTCTTTATTATAGAATTAAAATTTTATATTTAAATTATTTAATATTCAAATGATTTCAAATGATTGAATAAAAGTAGTATGGCGCTATTAGAATTGATAAAAATTGAATTGATAATGAAAAAATTATCACACCTTTTTTTACCCCAATATCTTCTAACTCTTAACAATCATTTGATATGAATTTATATGATAAAATGAAATATTATAATGAATTTTTTTTCTTTGTTTACATTTTGTTTACATTTGTTTACATTTTGTCGAAGTAAACAAAAATGAAATGAGCGGCAAAAAAGTTTAGAAAATTAAATAAAATATTGAAAGGTGAAACTTTTTTGAAGTGGGAAGAGTTTTTTTTCTTTTTCAAATACCAAAAGATTTGAATAATATTTATTAGGAAATTAATTATTATTTTATACGTTTGAATTATACGTATAATAAGTAAAATAGCAAACATAATAAGTAAACGGTATTATACGTATAATAAATAAACATGAATTTTACGTATAATAAGTAAACATAATAAGTAAATGTATAATAAGTTAACGTAGTGAACATAATAAGTAAACGTGTAATAAGTAAGCATATTAAAATTGCTAAAATTTTTTTCAACTTTTAGCATTTATAATTTTTTAATAAATTTCATAAAAATTTCATATAAAATTTAACAAATGATTTTTTCTTTCTATTCGATAAAAATTTCTAATTTTATTTTTTCATTTTAAGATAGCAAATTTTTTGAATATTTTATTCGATGATAGAATCATTCCCTTCTTTTCCTCTCAGAAATATCTCTACCATTTTTATCAATGGCCTGTAAAAAATTTCATGAGAATAAATTCGTTATAAAAATGTTTGGCTTAGTTGAAATAATAATGGCAATACGTTATTGGATGTTATATGAAAATAAGAAACGTCAACGACGACAAATACGTATGCGTGGTAATGCTGTTGGACGTTGGAAAGAGCAACGTGTTCGTAAATTACGTGTGCAACGTTTACTAAAAGAATCATCATCATCAACATCGGCAGGCATGTAAAAATCGATTATAATTAGCATAATTAGTGAAGTGTATGATTTCCAAAAATGATTCTATCCTTAAATTTTCTTCTTTTCTTTTCTTAAGTTAAAATCAAAAATTTGAAATTCTTTTTTGATTGTATCGAAGAGAGAAAGAAATGAAATAATTAATAAAGAAAATTTGTTGTAAATTTTCTTCCTTTCTTAATTAATTTTTAATTTTGAATTAAATAAACTTAAGTGTAAAAATTGTTTTTTATATTTTTGAACTTTTTTTGAATAATTTTAAAATATCTTTTAATTTAAATTTTTATTTAAAAAAGGAAGAAAGGGAAAATAAAACTAAGAAAGAATATGAAAAATATTTCTATTTTAGTTCATAAGGGAACATTATTGGACCGTTCGAATATTTTGAAAATGAAATCGCTAATATTTATGCAAAAAAATTTCAACAATTCATCATCATCGTCATCATCATCATCATTATCATCATCATCATTATCATCACCATCTAATAAACGAGAAGGAGTGAAAATTAATGATAACGATGAAGATAATAATAATAATAATAATAATAATATTGGTGTATCAAATGCTGATTATTTTGATGCTATTATTCATGCACTTATTCCGGGTCCCCTAGATATTCCAGCACTTTATCATTCTTACCATATTTCACCATATTCTGATATGAGCAAAAATATTACACTATCATTATCATCATCATCATCACCATTATCATCATCAATTAATACTGATAAACAAATATCTATTATTAGTACAATGAATAATAATTATTCATCAATTTTTACTAATAGAAATACTACTACAATTACAACTACTACTAGTACAATTGCTACAACTACAACTACAACTACAAATACAATAAGAATTGTTACAATTACTAAAATTCCTTTGGTTAGTGTTAAATGTACAACAACAAATTGTGTGCTATATAGTGGTATGTATTGGAATACAACAGCAACAACAACTATTAATTGTAATTGTAACAATGGTAAGTAATCCATTAATCTTTTCATTATTATTTCATGAGTTTATAATTAATTAGTAATTAAAAAAATTAATGCATATGAATTGAATTCTTATTATCTCATACATATATATAAATGTTTTTCTTTTTTTTCGTTTCTTTTTAGAATATTAATTAATTGATTATTCAATTAAATTTTTTATAGAAAGCATTAATGAAATGTTTAAATGAAACACTTTAATTGGAATTGTATTAATTGCTAATTAATTTAAATGAGATTTGTGATTAATTAGAGAAAATTTTTGTTTTTTATTTTTTGTCTATCTTCTTCCATACTTTACTTATTTATTAATTAAAATTCATTCATTCTATTCATAGGCAAATATAAAATCAGTAATTATTTCTTTTTCATTAACTCCGACGAAATGCTATATTTATCATTTGAAATAAAAGAATCGCAATGAAAAATTCAATTTTTTTAATTCAAAATTTCTGATCCTAAAATTTCAAAAATTATTTAAAACATTAAAATGTGATTATTTTTCAAAAATTAAATGGATTTTTTGCATTTTTGATACATTAATTGCAATTTTTCTTTGTTTTATTTTGATTTTCTTCAACTTTTCAAACGAATTAATTTTTTTAATTTTTTGTTTTAGTTTTTTTACTTTATTTGCTATTAATTACAGTTAATTAATAGTGGGAATCGTAGTAAATTAAAAGAATGGAAATTTTAAATTTAGCATTTCTCACTTCTTCAAATGCTATCAAATTTTTAAAATGAAAAGAAATTTTTTTTGTTTTATTAGGCGTATAGGAAAAGTGGTAGGCAATATAATTGATATATTTGTATATGGAATTAAAATTTGAAATTGATATAACTTGAATAAATGCATTTGAAATATTTTTTTTAGGAAAGAAAAGAGATTATATAAATTGATCCATTCCATTTTCATAATACGACAATGTCAAATTTTATAAAGAAAAAAATGTTTTCCATTTTATTTCGGAAGTAATACCTTTTCTTTTTTCTCCTCTCTCTCTCTCTCTCTCCAATTTCACTCATTATATATATATAAATTATCCTAGTAATGATATATATATATCATTACTATTAAAATAATTTTTTTTTTAAACAAAAAACTGAAATGTTTAATTGAGAAATAAATTAAAGTTGAAATGGTTAATGAGGAAAGAGAAATGAGAAAACAATATGGAATGTATCAAATTGAAGAGATAAAATTTAAAATAATTAAAATTGTTCACTTTTGAAACATTCTTATAAAATATATTTATGCAACGATTTCATATTAATACTAAAATTATTACTAAGTGAAATAATAATAATAATTGAGAGAGAGAGAGAGAAGAAAAATAGGAGAAAATTATAGTTAAATATTTTTTAAAAAAAAAGGAGAAAAGAAAGGAAATAAAAGATTTACCTATAAAGGATATGAAAAAAAATGGAGTAATGGTAATTATGGTTACAAAGACCGGAAAAAAGGAAACGAAAAATGAATCGGTAAATGTTGATAGATTTCCGGTATAACAAACAATGATAGATTGATAATTTCTCTTTTTTTCGTTTCATTCTTTTTTAAGTTCTATTTTTCAATTCAGTCCTACCTAATTCAGGCCTTTAAAACTCTCGACAAATTCTTTTTATGTTATCATTTTATTTAGTTGTTTATGAATGATATAGAAAGTGTTAAATTTAATGCTATCATTTTATTTATCATAGTTTACTATTATTACTATTACTACTACTACTATTATAACTACTACTACTGATAGTATTACTATTAATTATTGCTACTATTACTAATATTACTATTTCTGGACAATAAAGTAAAACGCTACGATACGATAATTTTTTTTATCATCCTATTAATTATTATTTCTATAAATTAAATATAATCATATTAATAAGTATACATTATTAGTAGGAGTTAAATGTAAATATTGTTTCAATATTATTTTATAATAATATTTAATCATTTTAATATTTTAATAATTGATTCTTATTAACTTATTCATTTAATTGGAATGATTAATTTCATATATTGACAGCTAATATATTATAAAACCTTT